ACACATCATCACAAGTTTTTTCAGATTTACTTTAGTACTTGACATGAATGAACGTAAGGAGCCTTGCGGTAGGTACGTCAATCCGCCAGTGGCTTTCTCATATCCGATAATGTGACCTTTTAAATTATCATCAATATGTTTATTTAAAGAATATCAGGTTAACTAGCACACGCTCAAAATAGTTCCATTCTGTTGAGAAGATAGCAAGTGTGCAAACCTAGTAGGTAAATAGTCATCCCCCAATTGTGACACTGGGTAAAATGAAGCTTCCAAGCTTCCGAGCGAGAAGGACTGGTCATAATGCCAGCATTTCAACGGGCAATATGAGCAAGCATGTTACAGCACTCCCGGGGCACTCGCAGATCCACTAGGGATGGAAGTGACTTGTGAAAGCAAGCCTTGTATGCGCCTCTGCGCAGGAAAATACTCGAATGCCGGATGCGTCGCTGCCAAGATCGCAATTAGGGCCGTAAGCAATGCGATGACCACATACGCAACGTGTAGTTCGGCCGTTGCCGAGCCGCCGTTCTTCGGTGCCATCTTCCCGACCATCTTCTTCACCGGCTCGACGGAGAACTCCTTTCCCGCCTTCAGCCCCCTGCGCATGCCGGGGAGTCCGTCCATGCTCCAGGCGTTTTTGAGCGCCCAGTAGCGATCCATGCTCTCTTTCTCATTCCCTCGCTCGTATTTCTCGACCTTCTTTTTGAAGTACCCCTCGAGCACACGGCGGTTCTCGACGAAGGTGAAGAATGGGACCTGGTATCCGCAAGATGTCCCGACCTGGTGAACGTCCACGACAATCACGGACCGAGTACCTGGCATTATTGTGATGTTTTCCCGCTCCACGATCTCGTCGAATTCTGGCGATCCATATTCTAGAACCTTGCCTTTACCCCAGAGTCTGAGGATGCGGGGTGGCCCTTCGAACGCATTAAAAACTAACGTCGAGTCCAAGTTAGTGCGGTCGGTTAAGCTAAAGGCGCCAATGGGGGTTTCGGCAGTGTAGACACGCATATTGGCACTCACGAATGGTAACACGGCCATTACCAGGCTCTAATAGATGCGATATTGTCTCATTTCCCGATCCCGTCCTATAATATTCGGAATCAGTGCTATATCATGATAGTGCGACCTAAAGAGATTTGCCATATACGGACACATTTGCGTGAAGCTTTTGTTACTAGACTGAGAAGATGTCGCTTACATATCCATATACCAAAAAGTCCTTCTATTTGGGACACCAAAACAGTCGCCTCCTTTTGGAGATACGTTGACATGGCCACTAATCAAAGTTAGTTGCTTCTCTGTCGAGGTTCTAGAGTGTGTAGCGAGTAGATGGGTAGCAGCTCGCCCGTGGTGGGGAAAGGATCGGATACTTGGCAGTAGTTCATGACGGAATCAAGCTCAGGTAATTCGATGTACTACTTACTGCCTAGAAAGCGGAGCAGTTGAGACCCAAAACATCTTCTGCCTCACGATCCAGTCCATAACATTCTCAGGGATCTCTTCGAAGAACGCGCCCATGATGAAAGCAGGTGCGCGGGCTTTGACCACGCAACCCCGCTAATTGATAGATCTCGGTAGAGTATAGTTATACTGAAATTCAATCAAGGCCGCTTACGTGGATTATGGACTTATGAAGTTCGTACGGCGGCTTAAAACAAGAACATTCCTTTCAAGAGCCTTGGTGATACAATGGAAGTTTGTTCTATTCTAGAGGAAATGTTCGTAGGAAATTTGTATCTATAGGGCGTATTGATGTTGGAGACAAATGACTGTATTATTAGCTGCCCTAATTGGGGAATGGTAGACACAGTGTGTCAAGACTGTGAGGGCAACACGAATGACGTGAACAAGGTAGCCGAGGTAGCGTAGATTCAGAAAATGTCACGATAGATAGTGGCAATCCACATTTCGGGTTATTTAAAGGGCTAGTAGCCACTAGTCTTTCGTTTCGGTAGATTCGGAACCATACAGCAAACATCTCCAACCAGTGAAAAATACATGTTGTGTTATCCGTCGTTCTATGCTGTCTTGGCCAGGCCACCAGAAGCATTCTCAAAAGAGGTAAGTAGGGTTACACTACAGCGTACCAAGACGGTTTATGGAATAAGCTGAACATGACGTGTTTAATGGTCCGGCATTCAAGCTTCATCGATCTAATAGACTCCTCTCAGGGTCTATATCCGATTCCATTCCGCTAGAGTTCAGCTAAATTCATACTAGGAGCGGGACTCGTGCACATTGGCATAATACTCAATTGCTTTTTGCCTTAGCTAGCCATATGAAAATAATCTAGTAAGAGACGAACTACGCTTTTGCAAACATGTATTCAAAATGGATCTACAGTTTAGGAAGCTCAGTACCCGAAAAGCTTGGTGACAACGCTGACTTGTAACTGGATGGCCTATTTCATTCTCCTCTGGGATTTTCCTGCATATATTTCTTGATCGATCTTCCTCGGTGGCTTAATTCGGCTGCTCGTTACAAGCCGATAAATCGTCATGTAGTACTAGAAGCGATCCGCTGTACTGTGCTTATTCACTCTCTTGAAAACTGTGCGTATGCGATTGTGGGGTATATCTTGGCTCGGTGGAGGTGAGGTTCCCCGATGTCGGATACCTAGTAATTCAGAGGTATCATTTCTAATTATCAGCTTTCCTCCGTATTAGACATTATTCAGAGATTTCTTGAGCATAACATGCATCTCAGGGTCATAACAATAGGATAGTTGTCTTATCTGTATGACTGTTTCGGTGAGCCAGTTCAGACCTTACACACAAATTGTATGCGGACACTTATTAAATAGAGTGCACAATCGTAAACAAATGCTCATGGCTCGTACGTTCTGTTTATCGCAGCACTTTGATGTAACCATGATCACACAAACAGATGGCTTCACAATTAAATTACGTCTGCCGGAGGGTATCGATTCACTCGAGATCAGATGCCCTATCGGCTTTGAGAAACAGTGGCTTTGTTCATAAAACAACCCTCCCTAAGCCCAAACAATTTCTTTGGCTATATAGAATGAATTTCTGAGGACATGGCATGCGAAGTGTAAACAGCCATGGTGTATGTAAAGCCAGGTGCAAGTCTCATTGCAGCTGCCACGCTGTTGAACGAACAATAGGTGAGAATTCAAAGCATCTTACTGTACAAGGAAAGGTGTTTCGTCATGTATATAAGGAGGTCGTCAGACGCTGCCCCCGGATATGTCTGCGCCCATATTAGTTTGTACCAACGAAAAAGAAACCAAACCAACACAATATTTAACGTGTTGCCGATTAAAGCGAGTCTGCAGAGCATGATCTCGAAGATACAAAATCTTAAACATAACCTATTCGCACAACGCCGTGCCCCGAAAAATCTCGGAGAGTTACTAAGGGATATTCCGCTAGCCTTGAACCTAACAACTATGAAGGAAGCAGTTGAGGACACTCTCGGCTACGATGCTGAAGACCCCGCCCCCTCGCTTAGCATCATCCCAATCAAAAAAATACTGTCGTTACCTTGGCGAGCGGGAGAATATTATACTGAGAACGTTTCCCACCCGCCAGATGATGACGTGTCAGCTGCCAGTACTCGTACAGTCACGTCACAATGCGCTGGTAATCCACGCTGGGAATGCGAGCAACTAGCAGCGTTTCTCCGCGCGAAAAACAAGGCTTACGACGATAGTAGTACAAGTGTTGTGGTGCTGGCACGATCTAATGACCCCTGGAAACTCGAAAAAGAGAATATCGATCACGCGGTGTTGATGCAGATCGTAGGTTCTTTGATCACAGTGTTTGCGAAACATGTTTCAGAAGAGGTACTCTTCAATATGTCAACACGGCTCACCGTTTCGGATATCTCTCGGTTTAGTACGCACAATGACCTCGATGCTGGTCTTGCCATCCTTTCCGCGTTCCCACAACTTGACTTAGACGGTAAGGGTCTCTTCCTTATTGTTGACTTAAGCGATGTTTATGCAAGCGAAGGCGGCCCGTCAAACGACCATCAGAATCTGATCAAGGCCCTTTTTAAGATCGCGGTGTCGAATAGAGCAATTCTGATACGGGTGGAGGCCACAAAGACTGGTTCAGAATGTTTCATACATGGGCCAGGAGGAACCCACCACAATGGGCCGAAAAGTTTACAAGTCATATATGATCCAACTGAGGACAAGCAGTAAGTCATACACCAGACCTTAGATCATAATAGAGGACGCTAGCAAAGTAAGACCCAGCATAGCTCATTGTATGAAGATAGTAGAGAAGTCATAGCACAACCCTTGCGATTTCAGTCTTCTTACACGGTGCTAATGCAATTCTACATATGGTGAAACGACGTGAGGAGCAACCCCTGTGTTTTGTTCTCAAGTCGCGCGTAGTACTCTGCGTGTTGGTATAGTCTCTATAATTAGTATTAGTCAATAGCACGGAACAATTAACACATTGTTGAATTGAAGCAAAGGTTTTTGAAGTAGATCAGAGTCACAATGGTAGACGCTGGGGGTCGGCACCACTTCCTATGACTATATGCATGATGCGGCGCCCGGGACTAATAAAAAAGAAATACATTTCTTATGCTTCGGAATAAGCGGACGCTTATTGTATAATTAACTAAACATATTGTTTAGTTGCACAAGACTATAAAGTAATAATAAAATTAAAAAGGAGTAAACGATTAATATCTAAGTTTAAAAAATTACGTGTAAATGTATAAAAAAAATAACAAGTAATCGAAACTAATAGGTGTTGAAGTTAACAACAGACTAATAAAAGTTATTAGTGACGTTACCCAAAGTAACAGATTTCTAATTAGCTTAACTTAAAGGTTTATAATAGGTTTATCTCAGTGTTTAAATAGATGTTTAATGTTTTATTATAACATAATTAATACGTTATAATAAATTATTGTTTAATTTATTAGATTTAAAAGATAAATTAAACAATAATTTACCCTGGCTTAAGGGTTTTAGTTTAATTTGTATCTATTTAAATAAGATAAACCTAAGAATTATGATGTAGTTGGTCTACACTTTGATTGCAGATCTTAAGTCTGAGGTTCAATTCCTCCATAATTCTATATAATATTCTTAAATTATCTAGTTTCTTTTTATAACAAAATTTATTTAATTATAATAAACACGAGTTTATTACAAATGAAGAATACTCATGCTTATGAAGAATACTTATGCTTATGTGTAGTATTAGTGATGAGGAAGATGATCAGAAACAATGGCGAGGAGAATTAAAATCTTCTATAAGTCTATGATTCGAACGATGATTTTTATCCACTAATGCTAAAGACATAGGAACCTTATATTTAATGTTCGCACTATTTTCAGGGTTATTAGGTACAGCTTTTTCTGTTCTTATCAGAATGGAGCTTAGTGGTCCCGGTGTACAATATATTCCAGATAATCAATTATATAATAGTATCATAACTGCACATGCTATATTAATGATATTCTTTATGGTCATGCCTGCTTTAATTGGAGGTTTTTTTCGACGCGGACAGCTTGTAGTTGAGTGTGATTACACACTGACCCCCATAGGCTTACCTGTGAGTTACAGGAAAGGGTCAAGGTTAAATGCTGCGGTCAGTTCCAACGAGTTCTGGTCGTGAGGAAGCACTAAATGGGAAAATGGTAAGAGTAGTCATAGATACCTAAGTACCCTACCTAGCAAAGAGATAAAAGTAAGTTGAGCACAAGCTAACTTATGGTCTAAAGACGGTTCAGCAATAAACGATCGACTACTACCATCAAGGGGATCGAAGTTCAATACAATGAGAACACAGATAGTAGAAACCCTATCTATATGAGCCTATCTCATAGAACATACCGTAACAGTAAGCAACTTACTTCTTAATCCAGGCAATAACACGCCGAGCCAACTACAAGTTAAACGTGGGAACCCCGGAAAGATAGGAAGATTCCTATCCTTGGACTGAATTGTGTCACTGACCTACTATATACCAAAGCTAAAGCCAGGTTATAGTAGCCAAGACGGGGGCAAGATAGCAGAACAAGCAAATGTCGGAGGTAATGCTCCGAATATTCGAAATAAGGCTAAGACCTATAGCTCTATTCCGAAGGCACCAAACCATGGTGTACTGCCGAATTCTGTATGCCTTAATGAGACTGCACTTAATTCATTTGCAGTAGGTAGAAAAGTCCAGGACCTCTTCGGAGCGAGACATGCATCTTCCTACACTACTCCTACTCCTGAGGAACTTTCTAGGGAAGAAAGAGTAGAAATAAAACAAAAAGAACTGGTTCAGTTAGCTAAACTAAAAGGAGTCTATGATAACGAGGTCCTTAATAGACAGGTACTTTTAGTGAGATCCAGGCTATTCAGAGAATACGCCACGGAATTGATTAGTAATAAACCCGGTTCTCAAACACCGGGGATAGATAAGGAAATCTACGAAAAGGACAGGAAGGAGTCATTCGAAGAATTAGTGGAATACCTAAGGACAATGATCTACCACCCTAACCAGTACAAAGCCAAAGCTGTCAAAAGAGTATGGATCCCCAAACCTGGTAAGGATGAGAAAAGACCACTAGGTATACCCACAGTTAAGGATAGGGCTTTACAAGCTCTAATCAACTTAATCTTAGTCCCACTTGTGGAATTGACTAGCGACCCTAATAGTTACGGATTTAGACCGTACAGAGACTGTAAGATGGCAATAGCTGCCGTACGTAACCAACTAAAAACTGTAGACGTACAAAAAGTCAGAGGATCGTTAAATAGAAGATACAAGTCGGTTGAACAAAGTGGGAACTTCTTAATCCCTAATCAGGAGAAATGGATCCTAGATGCAGACATCAAAGGGTTCTTTGACAATATAAATCATGACTGATTGATAAATAACTTATTCTTACACCCAGAATTGAAGAAGATTGTCAACCAATGATTGAAAGCTAAAATCATTGATAATGGGACATACGAAGACCCTATAAACGGAACTCCGCAAGGAGGTATAATATCACCTACACTTGCTAACTTTACCTTGAACGGGTTAGAAAAAGTAATAAAAAGGTCAATTCACCCCCTAACGAGATCCAAGGATCAACGTATGCAAATTAAATATAGCGATGGAAGATATCGTCGGATAAACATATCTACAGAGTGCATCAGATATGCGGATGACTTCATTGTAATCACAAGAAGCCGAAACATATTAGATAAATACATTACTCCATCAATTAACGAATTCCTAAAGGAGAGAGGGTTGTGATTAAGTCCACAAAAGACTAAACAATACCAACTGATCAGTCCTAATGCTCAGTTGGACTTTCTAGGATATACTTTCAAATACATGACTAAATGATCCTCAAAGAGAACTATGATTTATTCAAGGCAAACATCTGGAGCTATCGCACTTTACCCTAACAGAGATAAACTGATGAAGTTTATAGCTAAAGTAAAGGATATTGTACATGACTCGCAGAATTTATCTGCAATCGAATTAATTAGTAAATTAAACCCAATTGTTAGAGGATGAGCAAATTATTACAATCTTGATAATAGCTCACACTATCGTAGTGTACTTAGAGAGGCCTTATACAGACTTATCTGATTATGGATGAGGAAAAAACATCCTACATTAGGTAAGAGAAAACTGGCTAATATGTATTTCTTAAGAACCGATGAAAGTCTCGACCCAAGGAATATCGACTACAAATCACCGAAACAGGATAATAAAATCGACAAAAATGGTAATCTAAATTTCAAAAA